GATATGGCATTTACTTCATAAATGGAATGACCGTGGTTCGAAACTCGCCTTTTCTTAAATTTTTTTTTTTTTTTTACACACGCACAAAGCTGGGGAAAAAAAATCGGGAATAAAATTAGAAAAAATACTGAAAGGCCTAAATGGTATAAGAAATCTGAATCTGATGAGATGTGTATCATTTAAAAATGTACAAAGAAAGATTTTTTAAATACAAATAAGAAAAAATAAATGGTTACAAAGCAAACATATGACCAGCGGTATTTAAAAGCAAAACAAAAAACATTGGACAGTTGCAGAAATTGACCATGCTGTCTATGAAGTTAACGCTTTATCAAAATAAGCTAAATGTGCATATACTTAGTATGAAATAAATATAACTATATAATACAAAAAGTTATAAATAAATGTATACTCATGCATCACATAGATGTTTTCTTATAGAGACAATATATACTTGTTACATTTAAATTATACAAACATTATTTTAAAAACAGGTGGCAATTTATATTTTTCCTTTCCTTTTTAAAAGTAAACAAATAAATTTTTTTTGCTTTGACATATCGAGTTTCGTTGCTGAAAATAACAACCACTCTAATGTAGCAGTACACAAATTATTTAAAATATTATTTTTTTATATTTAAGTCTATTTTAATTTCCTATTTTGTTTATTTTTGCTTTCTTTGTTTTTGAAACTTTTTCCGCAACACTTAATATAAAAAAACTTGCAAATGGTCTTGACTGAGTTGTCTAAAATAAAACGCTCATGTGTGGTCATACAAGTTGGAAAGCTGCACTCGTTTCCTGGGAAAGCTTGGTCAATTTTCTGTTATGTCTTGGTCATGATCCCTAACTTATCCTATATTTTGGGAAAAAAGATACTTAAGCTGTGGTGAAAGCAACTTACGTAAGAGAAAAAAACACTGATATAAAACTTTCAAACTTTTTTTGGGTAAGGGTATGAGGAGCTTGTAAACCTTGGATGATAATCCTCCTAAAAGTAATCAGGTTGATGCAAAGGAGAGCATCTTTTTGTAAAATATTGTTTAGATTCTTTAACTCTTCCATAATGTCACATTTGAATAAATAAATGCCATTATGGAAACATGTTCAAACCACAAATAATGCAACTTTAACCTAAAATAATACAAGAACAAAATATTAGTTATAAATTAAGGTTGTTGTTTTTTTTTTTTTTTTTTTTAAGGAGGGAGGGGTTGTTGTGGAGAGGAACATTTTATTCACAATATATTCAAACACAGTAGGGGAGACTGGGGCTAGTTGACTCGGTTTTTACTCTATGAGCTCTGTAGTCCTAACGGAACATTTTTTTAGAAAATATAAAAGTGTAGTTTCTGAGAGTATGAATTTGGGTAACTTATAAAAGTTGCATTCATTTACAAAAAATATATTTTGGTGCCTTTCTGGGCCCTCAAAAAAAAAAAAAAAAAATTGCGTTAACTTACCCCACCCTGGGGTAAGTTGCTTATACTCAAAGGGTAAGTTGACTCGCAATAATAAAAGCTAAAGTTAAAGTTCCTATTTAAGTGTATTCCAATAATATTTTAACCCCCGTCCCCTTTTTTTTATAGGAATCATAGCTGAAATATACTTTTATCAATATCATCAAACTTTTGGATCAAGTCATTGTAACATTTTAAGCAATAGAAAGTAAATATAATTAAAAAATACAGTGACAAAACAAAACAGTGTTCCCAATTTATGGTTATACAATAAGAATTAAAAATTATATTGTTTTATTACATGAATATTTTTAACTAATGGAGTTTCAAATCGGCTAGCAGCAATTATTGCAAATGAAAAACAAAGATTTTCCGATTATACATGACTTGTGAGCCCAAAGGTGACATTGGGTTCATTGAACCCAAACTTCCTCTGGTTTACTTTTAGAAAACATTCCAACACAAACCAAACAAAAACACTCCTCTTTAACAGAGCTATTTGGACAATTCAAACTTTTCTCCATTAAGTGTAAACTTCCTTTACTATTTGATCTTTTACTCATCTTAATATTATCTTCATTTAACATTTTTGCTTGTTTTCTCTCTTCAATTGCTAACTTTTTCTTTTTAGCTGATTCTTTCTCTATTTTTAAAACATTCATATTTGTTGAATCTGTTAAAATTGATGTGGTTCTACTTCTTTTATTAGCCTTAACTCTTTTTCTTGGTTCAGCTTTTTTGAATGTTCTTAAATCTTCAGGCGATAGAACTACAGTTGACTCAGGCGATAGAACTACAGTTGTAGATGCACTGTGTACATCATTACTGCTTGAATATGAAATATCTTGACGTGGTTCTATATCTTTTGAGCAACCAGCATTTAACATGTCATTCTCAGATATTGTAAAGTCAACATCCGTTACATTACTTATATTTAGCGCTGTACTTTCCACAGCACAGTCTTGTTTCGGAGGTGGTTTATCTTTGGTATAGGCTGGCATAAAATCGTGTTCACCAAAAATGTTAACATTTAGTGGGTAAATTCCTGTTTTTGCAAAACCAGCCTTGATATTATTAGGGGTACATTCTAATGGAAATGAGTTACCCACAATACCTGGTATACTGTAAATAGATATTGTGAAACCAGGGTGCATTGTCATCCACACATCGCAAGCTGTGTTTGTGTATTTTTTAAAAGGTCCAAATACACTTCAATCTAGAGGTTGAAGTTTATGGCTGCAATGAGGAGGAAATGAACAAACCGATACCCCATTTTCTTTAAAGTAATCTAAAGCCTCTACTGAAAGATGAGAGTCATGATTGTCTAATAGCAACAAAACAGGTCGTTCTTTTGTACTTCTGGCATATTTAAAAAAATGATGGGAAAACTGCAAAAATTGAACTTCAGTCATCCAACCAGATGGGTTTGCAGCGCCTGCACTTCCATCAGGAGCCCCATTTAAAAAATAGCTTTTAAATTTCACACGAGGAAATATGAAAAATTGAGGAATTGAATTTCCACTGGCAGAAACAACAACTGCCACAGTTTCTAAATTGCCTCTCTCAGCCGAAGTAACACGCCCAATTTGTTTAAAACCCTTTCTTGCTACAATATGATCTGGAGTTTGAACTGTGGTAATACCAGTTTCATCCATATTCCAAATATCTCCACTTTCTAACTTTAAACGATTAAGAATAGTTTGTAAATTATTGTAAAACTTTTGAACATTTGTTGGATTAAAACTGGAAACACGTGCTTGACTTATTGCCTCAGGTGCCTTTTGAGGTAAGCACTGAACCAGTCTTCTCCAGCTGCTTCATTTGCACTCCAATTATGAGGCATTTTTATGCTATTCGCTTTTCCATACTGATAAGCTAGTTTCCTCACTTCCTTAGGAGAAAGTCCATAATAAATATCAGAAGCTTTAGTCACATATTGTTCCAATAGACCTTCTTGTAAATCAGTAAAGACCTAAATGAACAATATCAATATTAAAACAAATAACGCTATATATATATGCACACACGTGTGTGTGCATATATATATATATATATATATATATATATATATATATATATATATGTGTTTGTGTGTGTGTGTGTGTATGTGTGTGTGTGTGTTAAAGAACATAGCAGTTATGTTTATAACTTTGTGTGTGTGTTGTTTGTGTGTGTGTTGTGTGTGTGTGTTATAACACACATATATATATGTGTGTGTGTATACACATACTAATATATATTAGTATGTGTTATACACACACACACATTGTATTAGTATGTGTTATAACACATACTAATACACAGTTATAAAATATAACTTATATGTTTTTTAAGATCATTGAGCACTCTATTTGTAAATAATAACACTAACATAATTTTTATATACAATATATATATATATATATATATATATATATATATATATATACATATATATATATATATATATACATATATACATATATATATATATATATATATATATATATATATATATATATATATATATATATATATATATATATATATATATATATATATATATATACTGACCTGTCTAGATTTTATGTAACCTGATATTTGCTGACCATGACGTTGTTGCTTTTTGCAGTATCGGGACAAACTTTTTTCAGGGATATTAAAGTCTTTGGCTGTTTTTTGTATAGATTTTCCTTCTAATAAAACAGCATCAACAGCATTTTTTATAACATTTTGAGGAGTTATAGCCCTCTTTGTTTTTCTTTTATAGTTTCGCATGTAATATATGTGATCTATCTAATTGATTTTTAAAAAAATAAATCAAAAGTTATTGAAAAAGTTGAAATTTATGTCCAATCGCAACCGGGTTTAGTTTTATATATACAGCCAACTTGCCCCGCCAAAATTTTGCCAACTAACCCTGACAGCTATTTGGTCACAAACTCCCCTACCGATCCCTGAAAAACGTATATAAATAAAAAATAATGGTTAGACAGATTTTACTGAACCATGCAAGATATAACTCATATCAAGTTTACGTGTCTTTGATGTGGAAAAAACACATAAATCACAATATCTTTTATGCGCATGCGCAAATCCCCACAATACTACAGTGAAAGATGAAATGGTCAACTAAGAAGGTTTCCTGAAATTATTTTTTTGATGAAAGACTTTGCAGATAAACGCAATTCGTCAACTTACCCCTGCTGCCAACTAGCCCCGCTCTCCCCTATCTAAAAATTCTTTTAAGTTAATTTGGCTGTAGAGTTTAGACAAAATTAAATTGTAATCAAAGATGTTAAAGTAAAAGAACACATTAAAAGTTTTATTTTTTTAGCAAATAAAATATTTCTACTAAATAGAGGCTAAATAATAGAAATTGATTAACAAACTGATTAATAATCTTGTAATATCAGTATCTATATTAGATGGTTAATAGGTAGTAAATATTTTTATTAAAGATGTTGAGTATTTAATATTTGCTGTAATGTTTATAATATTTAATAGAATTTGAAAGTATTAATACTTATTATTATTTACAGATCAATATTTTTGTTTTAGATTATGACCTTGATCATATTTGTTATGTCCACATGGTAACAATTTTTTATCTTTGTTAGATATATTTTAATAATATTTTTTCATTTCATAATACTTTCAATATATATATATATATATATATATATATATATATATATATATATATATATATATATATATATATATATATATATATATATATATATATATATATATATATATATATATATATATATATATATATACAAGAACCACACTGTACAAGAACGACACTGAGTTCGATCCCCACCTCGTCTCTGGTAGTGCCGCACCCAACTTGTTTCTCAGTACAGCGGCCTTGTTTGTCATGGTTTATGTTTTGGAGTTATAGATTTGAGAGAGGGTTGAGGGTTGAAAAAATTTCAAATTTATGACATTATGGCCTTAGGGAGGTAAATTGAAATAAATAAAATAAATATTCAGAACACTTCAGCTATGAATTATTGTTTTATAGCAATCTTTAATAAAAATTATTTTTTTGTTTCCGATTCACAGTACTTGCATGATTGGCTTGCATGATTGATGCATGATTGGCTTGCAAAGTCAAAGATTTTTCTGATTATGCCTCTATCTCTCAAACCATTTTTTAATTAGCTTAAGAAACTAAGTTAATCAAAAATAACTTTTGAGGAATGCAGACCAATCAAAAACAATGTTAAAGGGAGCAGGCAAATCAGAAAGTGACTTTACAGAAGTTCTCCAATTAAAACATTAAAAAAATATATATAAAATAATAGAATACTGCATTTAGCCTGAATATATAATTTTGCGTCTTTGAGACCAAACAAGATATACTCTTTTTGAGAATTTTTATTTTATTTTATGAGGAGCCTTTCTAATGTTTGAGAGTTTTAGGGCACCTCTTATTATTTATTTTTTTTATTCAAAAAATTTTAAAAATTTAGTATTATTTTATTATACACATTTAGGGGAAGCCAGCTGACATTTTCAAAAAAGTTGTTTTAAGGGCGACTCATATATATATGTATATATATATATATATATATATATATATATATATATATATATATATATATATATATATATATATATATATATATATATATATATATATATATATATATATATATATGTATATATATATATATGTATATATATATATATATATATATATATATATATATATATATATATATATATATATATATATATAGTATATATATATATATATACATATACATATATATATATATATATATATATATATATATATATATATATATATATATATATATATATATATATATATATATATATATATATATATATATAAAGTATATATATAAAACTTCAAATAAAGTTTTACTTCATCTGTGATTAATATTTATTTTATTTTCAGGGCTGTGCTTGGTGCAGTGCAATGGTTAGGTTTTGGATATATATTTTCAAATTACCTCGTTGTTTTTCTTGGTTTTTGGTCAGATCGAGATTATCCATCTGTTAAACCGGTTCAGTGTGTATGTTTATTTTTGAATTTCTTATTATTGTACATAAATTATGATATTTTTATTTTGTTCAATTTTACAATGGTTAACTTTTTCATATAAACTTTTTTGATTATGTTGGTTTAAAAGTTTGTAATTAATTGAAAATAAAAAGTATTTATAAGTGTTGTATCATGTAATCAATTAAAAAAAAATTATTTTGTAAGTATTTTAAAGTTATAGCCATATTAATTATATATGATAAAAACAAATAAAACTATAAATAAACATAAAACCATAAAGAAATATATAAAAAACACCAAAGGGAGCTAAGTAATGAAATTAAATTTCTAATCAACAAAAAAAGCATTTAAAAAAAAATTAAAAAAAAATTGGTTTAATAAAACAAAGTTTAAAATGAAAGTACCAAAACTTCCAGCTTTTGATTTAAAAGGTATGAAAATAAAGGTTAGTAGCACAATAGTAATAGCAATATTAACGAGTTTCAATTATACTTGCAGTTACATCCAACTAATCATGAGTAGTCTTTATTTTACTAAGTTTATTTGTTTGCAACACACTTGCAATTTTACACTGCACAGTGGTTACAAAGTGTCACTTTTGAGGCAAAAATCATTTGCCAATTTTGAAGCTAAAAAGCTAAATTTTTTGGTGAATATTTATTATACCATGGCCAATAATAACTATTATTGTAATGTCCATTGTCAAACATCAGATAGACATACTAATAATACAAAATCAATGGCAAATGAAATAAAGAAAGTAAACATGTGATACATATGTATGTAAACATGTGATATGTATGTATGATACATGATAAATGTCATACAAGTGCAGCATGAATGCATAATGTAATAACTTACATTTAACATACTTATTTTAACAGAATTATTTTTGGAATACCTTTTAATTAAATATTCTCTGGAGAACAATTTTCACATTTATGACATCTTAGTAGATTGCATAAAAATGTACGGTAGAACACTAAGGATAACATTAAGGACAAAAAGTAGGTACAACATGACACATGTTACATGACAATATTTAAAATAATTTAATAATTTTTATGATTTTGGGTATACCTACAAATGTTAAGAATATTAATGCATGATATAAAAAAATTCTAAAATAACATACCAAGGACACATGACAGAACATGTGACATGCTTTTTACATTTATATTTACATTTAGATGTTTATGTTAAATTTTATTTCTATAATATAGATTTCAATAGTTTGACTTCCTTTTCGTTTAATAAACAAAATCATCAAGGACACATATTTTATAATTACCTAGACATTAATGTTCTGTGTTAAGTTATAAACAAAAGTAAGTACACTCAATCTTGTGCTTGACTTGAAATAAGTCTTTGATTGTTGTTTTGAGTTCAGTTGACATAAAAAAATCATATTCTGTTTTAATGATTTGTTAATTTTACACTAGAACAGGATAATAATATTGGATTGAAGATGTTTTGGCGTTAGAGAAACGAATAACATTAGTTTCCTGTACTTTAAGTTGCATAGATACTGACACAAAAGAAACAAAAATTCTTCAGCTGGAACTGGCAATCTATCCTCTTCATCGTCAGTTCTCTGTTTATAAACAGAATGTCCAGATAAACCATTGAATCTAATTTTGCCTATTAAAAAGAAGAGTATTTTAAGGTTCAGTTAGTTTCGGTTTATCCATAACTTTCCAAATCCTGTTTGTTGTGTGATCCATTATTCCTTGAAGATTCACAGTAGCACTGTAGTTTGATGTGACAATCCTGGAATCTGGAATGCAGTTACTTTTAGCTTTCACAATAAAAAGGCATAACATGCAACCTTTATCCCTTGACGGTTATTTTGATAGTCAGTCTTACTAATTCTACAGTCTAACATTAAAGCTAAAACTCATTTTGCTAAGTTGCATGATATATTACAGGATCCATCAGTTTTACTTTCACCAAATGTTTTAAAACTTTAGCATCTTTAAATCATCCTTCTTTATTGAGATTCAGAATAAGGGAAACAGGCTTTCAGTAGTAACACTGAAAGCCTGTAATTTTTCAGTAATCACTGACGATCTTTTTTTCTTAGACTATGTTGAGAAATCTTCAAATAATTGTACTTCAAAGGTGGACCTCGTTGTACACCTCGTTGTACACCTCGTTGTGAGTTTTTTATCCTAACTTGCTCTTGAGGTTTATTTACAATAAATTCCATAAATTAAACCATATTATTCCATATTATTCTTGTATCAATTTATAAATCTTCCTTTTTTTCTACCTGTAACATTCTATTTCTTTTTAAAGTTTTTCATTAAATGGTGTATTTTAAATGATTTTATGTTGATTTTCCATATTTTATAAGAATATTAAAAATAATTGGTATATCTGTGACATCAGGAGTAAGCATGTATAAAAATTTGGTGGACTGATTTTTGCCCAAAAAAATTTTCTTCAATTTTTGAACTTTAAGCCCTTCTTAGAAAATATTTTTAAATATTACGGGTCTTGAAAATTTAAATCAGGTTTTCACATAGCATGTGTAATTTAATTTTTTAATTGTTTTTGTTATAAAACAATTTTTTTTTATGTATTTATGGTACTGGACCACTGTGCACTGGAGTAATGACCACTCAGGCCTTGCGATGAATAAGAACTGCGCGGCGCATAAGCACGACATGATTTTTGACGTCATTAAATTCTTTTTATTTGCTTTTCATATTTATCGACATTAACTGCACCAATTTACTTAATTACCGCAAAACTACTTTAAATCGTTTATGTAGAAATGTTATTATTTAAAAATGTTTTGGAATGTTTCGTTTTTTAAAATGTAAAAACATTTGTTTATTTTCTCGACGTTTGTCACGTTTTGTCTATATCAAACGAATAAAAAACGCTATATCTTAAATTTAAAAAAGATTATAAAATATGCTAATATTTGATTTTTTTTTTTCTTAAATATGTAATTTAAAGTTTTTCAAATAATTATTTTTTCTTTATAAAAAGTCAGCGAGTAATAAACTGGAAATTTTAATATTGAAATATAATAATAAAATAAAAAATTTTAATATATTTTAATAAATTTTTTGAGTTACTCTTTACAAAAATTTTAATAACTGTACTTTTTTATTGAATCGAGTAGAATACGTTTTAATATTAATCCTTTTGTACGATTAAAAACTGTGCATTAGCTAATATTTTTACAAGCGATTTTATTTAATATTTATTTATTTTTATTTATTTTCATAAAGCGGTTGATAAGCACAATCACTCGTATTAATAAAAAACTTAAACGAACGTTTTGAATAGATTTTTAATGTTAACAAGGAATTTTATTTCAAGTAAAATAAAATAAAATGTTAGAATAAAAATCTTATAGGTATAAAAGAAATAATTCAGCGAAAAAATTATTCTTAAAAATTATTCTTAAAAATTATTCGAAAAACTATTGACGCTCTTTTTTTCAGCAGCTGTTCTTGAGCACGCTTCGTTGAGTTTCAGTAACTTTTAATATAAAAGCGATCGTTATTATTTAAGTAAATTTTTTGAGTTACTTTTTACAAAAATTTTAATAACTGTACTTTTTTATTGAATCGAGTAGAATACGTTTTAATATTAATCCTTTTTTATTTTTTTATTTGACCTCACCAATTTTTAAAATGTTTTCTCGAAATTACTCTTAAATACTTTAAATACGTCTAACAGTTAATAAATATTTTTAAATCTATGGAATAATTTTAAAACCTAACAAACCCCCGTAAAATAATTATTTAAGTTTAAAATCTAAAACTAAAAGAAAGTATTTTTGTTCAATTTTATCGACAACTTTGCTATTGCTGAATAATTTTATTAAAATGTTAGCTTAAAAGATTTAAACTTATTTTTTAATTTTTGAATTTTTTCTACTTGTAAATAATGAGCATATTTAATTTTTTTAAATTCAAACTTTTATTTCAACTGCATGCGGTTTTCAAAATACTTTATTAAATGTTAAAATAATCGTAAATTACTTCATTAAAATTCCGCTCAAAAATATCTTTAAATATACTCAAACAAAAGATTTTTTGCTTGACGCAAATAGCCCTAGCTACACGCAAAATCGCTCTTGGACGACGTAAAATTCACATCGCCTGATGCTTTATCGCAAGGCCTGACCACTGTGCACTGGAGTAATGAGATTCGTCTGTAATGTGAACTATTTGCATTTAACTAACTTGTGTATAATGCACTCAACTTAGGCATTGTACACACTTGTACTTTTACACTGGAATAATGAGTGCTGTTTTGTGTATAACAAAACCTGTTTTGTGTATAACAAGGAATGTATAATAAAAACTGTTTTAGATATAACAAGAACTGTTTTGTGTATAATGGAAACTATTTTGTGTAGAATTTTTGGGTTTTAAAAAAATCATCAAAAAATAGTTTTAACTCAATGTAAAAATTTCTTTTTGTATATATTTTTATTTATGTTTTTGAAATTATTTAAATTGTAACATTATTTAACAACTCTCGGCAGTCCATACAATTTTTATTGTATCTAATCATAAGTTGAATATTGATATTTAGAAAAAAGAGTTTAAAAGTGTAAAAATGAGAGCTGTCTTTAGTAAACAGTCAGCCAAACTTCATAAAATACAAAATACTATTGAAGAATATAACGAGGATAACTATGATTAAAATATTTTTAGCAAAATTGATATAAAAACTTATATTGTTTGGAAAAGAATGGTACTAAAGACCTCATTACCAAAATTTCATATGTGCATGTTTCTTTAAAAATAATTTATTAAATTTTGTACATTACAAGTTAGTATAGTTTTACACAACTAAAATGGTTGAGCAGTTGAAATTAACTTTTTTAATTTACAAAGTCATTGATGTTCAGTTTTGGTCTAAAGTATAAAAAGTAAATTATCCTAAAGCCAAAATAAAAAAATCTTAAAAAACTCCTTAAAATCTTAAAACACACATTCATCAGCAGACACCAAAATATAGAAAAAGCTTCACACTACCTATATACACCTATCTACATACACTTCTCAAGTTATTGCCATGTTCAAAATTGTTAGTGCTATCAGTGTCAACTACTTCAACTCAACTACTGGACCTATAGAATACTCCTGTTTAACATAATTAGTATAAAATGTAAATTTTTTAAATGTTCTAAAGTAAAAAAAGTAAATTTTTCTGAAACCTAAAAATTCTTTTGCATTTATTTAGTTAAACCATCAAGTTTTAAAAAGAATTAAAAAAAAAAAGAAATTTACTGAAAATGTTGTGAAGTTGTGAATTACCCAGAAATACCAAGCATTACTGAAAATGTTGTGAAGTTTACCCAGCATTATTTATCTTTGTGGGGATGTTCAAAATGGAAAAAATACCCAATGCAACATAGTATTGGAATCAAATGCAGAACATGTTGCTTCAAGTATTAATGAATTTATGGATGATTATAAATTTATTTAAGAATAGTAAAAAAAGTGTTTTATTAACTTGTTGCTATCAGTTTTAGGGCAGTTTTGGCCAAAATTTTAAATTGTATTAAGTATATATACTTCAATAAAGTTAACCTGACCGCCCTTACTCCCTTATCTTAAATGTTTTATTTATTCACTTGATTCATGTTTTTGGAGATTTTATCTCTTAGTTTATATAACTAATATATTGTTTCCTAATAACTAAAATATAAGATGGAAAATTTTAAACCCGGCGGCCACAGAGTACACTATGTGCCATTTATATTTATAAACTAATCAATGCAGTGATGCTGAAAAGTATAAAACAAGATTTGAAAAAATAAAGATAAACAGATAAAACTATAATGCAATATTGTAAAAGAAAAAAAAGTTTTACTGTTCAAAATAATAACCTTATCCAGCTATTTCTTGATACACACACACACGCACACACACACACACACACACACACACACACACACACACACACCACACCACACACCACACACACACTTACTTTTGTAATTTAGTTTGGTACTGACATAATACACACAATATATTTTCACATTTTTAAGTTTTAAAGTGTTAAAAAATATTAAAATTATTAAAGTGTTTTTAATTTAAATTTTTTTTTATTTTAAATTTTTAATTTCTTTTGCTTTTTATTTTAAATTTCTTTTTAGTTCTTATTTGCTCTGTGCTTCACCATTTTAAATGATATTTTATCAATGGCTATTACTTATGAGGTTTTACCAAGTGAGTGTTTTTTTTTTATGTTTTACAATATAAATGTGTTTTTTATTTTTTAAACAAGTTTATTTACATTTTGTAACAATTTAAAACGATAGAATTCTAGTTTACATTGTGAACTGTATACTAATCCAGGTGATTAATCCAAACATTTATAAAGTTCTTGAGTAAACTCTATTAAAATTTTTTTAAGATCTATTAAAAGCTTCTAATAAATTTCTGGTTATGGTGGATCCATAAGAAATAATCAATGCAAAGTTTGAGATTTTTTAGGTGGTTTCACTTCTTTTAAAGATACTTGAAAAGCTATAAAAGTGCCAAGGAATATGATATATATTGTCATAAAAAAGGAAGGAAACAAGTGCAAGCATAATCTGGCTCTTATTGAAAAATTGCCTTAACAAAAGAATAAAAAGAAATGTTGGATTCAAAAAATAATATAATTTCTGTGAAAGTTTAATATTTAATTAGAGACACCTTTGATATTGTTAACTTAGTAAATAACTTTGTTTTATGGTCTGAAATATGCTGACAAAATTTTTGTTTAAATTGTAAGCAAATAATTATTAAGAATAGGTCAGGAAAAAATGATTTTACCAAATGTTTAAGTTGCACTTTTTTAGTAATAAATAAAATTAGATAATTTTTTTCCAAAGTTTTGTGGAAGTCCCAGCCAGTTTAACTTTTTAATAATATAGATTTTAAGAAACTACTATAGCCCAAATGTTGTTTTCTATTTTAATATGAAAATTCTGTTTCATTTTGAAAACTGAATTTTTACTTTAGAATAATTACATTCACAACGACAAATGATTACATCCACAAGGACAAATGATTACATCCACAAGGACAAATGACAATCTTCAATCATAAAATAAGGTGACATTGCTGCCAAGTACAAATGCAGGGCAAAAGGAAAACTTTCAAAAAATAAATTTATTCACAGATAATAAGCATTTTCTCTTGATAACGCTATTGTTCTATATTTCTTCATATTTCACATATTTCTTCAAATATGCTAGTTATTTGTATATTGATAATAGAACAAAAATCATGGTACTTAAAAAAGCATAGTTTAAATAAAAAAACTATATTAAAAATTATTTTTTGCAGAAATTAACTTTTGTTCAGAGAACCCTTGCATAGGACTTAATGAAACTTTGTGGAATCGCTGCCCAGGCCTTTTGGATTTGTTCAAACAGTTGATCCTTAATACAAACACATTCACAATTAATTCTGCGGCTAACAATCTCCCACAGGTTCTCCATAGGGTTGAGATCCGGAGATTGAGGCGGCCAATCCATCACCGAAAGATGGTTGTCTTGAAACCACTGCGTGTTTCGGATTGTTGTCTTGCTGAAAATTTCATTCAGCATGAGGTAACATAACCTCTTTCAGGATATTTTTATACATGAAACGGTCAATTATTCCATCAATTCGATGTATTGGACCTAGACCGTTAGCAGAAAAACACCCCCAGACCAATACATTGCCTCAACCATGCTTCATGGTCTTATGACAGTAATGTAAATCGAAGCGTTTTCCAGCCGGTCGACATACACGGCAAATATTATGCTCTTCTTATGCAAAGGCTAGGAGAAATAAACTCCGACTAAAAATTCCCCTGCCTTAGGGCTCTTGGTTGAGTAAAGGCTAGAGATGGTGTCTTGATAAAAACACTCATCTTGGGCAGATGTTAACTGCATCCAGCTAAACATCCCCTGTCTTGGGGCTCTTGGTTGAGTAAAGGCTAGAGATGGTGTCTCGATAAAAATACTCATCTTAGGCAAATATTAACTGCATCCAGCTACTGTCTTGTAGAAGGCCTCCTAGGCAAAGACTTTAGGGGTAAGCAGAAAAATTCTGCTAACCAGCCTCGAACCCCTTCTTCATCTATTAGGCTGGCGTAGATGTAACCTGCGTTACATTGTTTCCTGCCTAGGATGATGAATGCTGAATCTCCTTGACTCTACTCATAGAATTTTGCTTATGCCTCCTTGATAATGGCTATGCAACTCTTCCTGTTATCTCCATAGGAGGGTACAGCTCTAAAACTCAGTTTAATGGTTCTGAGGCCGGCTAGTAGTAAGGTTTCCCGAACTCTGTGTTAGCTCTCAGAGAGGCTGATTCCATCAACAGCTGCAAAATATCAGAGTATTAACAGTGCCATGTTGCCCATGGATGGTGTCCCTGTTAATGCTTTTGGTGCGCATTGTCAAGGCCACATTAGGAGCCCTATGTCACGGCTTAGGGTTAATTAACAGGACTGAGACTACTGCATAGCTCATTGATTAGGAGGCTGTGCTCTATCTATGCATGAGTCAAGTTCTCATTAAACCCAAATCATGACCAAAGTAACCAAAAATTTAAAACCTAAAAAACCATCCCCACCACCTAAATATTTTAATATATCTTTTACAAATATTTGCGGTCTACGAAGCAACTTTCCATCAGTTGAGTCTTACCTCCTGCAAAATTCACCAGACTTGCTTGCACTCAGTGAAACAAATTTAAATTCTGCAATTCCTTCTTCAGATGTCAGTGTTGATGGGTACTATCCTTTGATTCGTAAAGACTCAAATAGTCACATGCTAGGTTTAGGGGTATACATACGCATTAATTCCCCTATTTGTCGTGAAATCAGGTTCGCATCCTTTGACCATTCTTTTATGTGCTTTCGCCTAGCACCTCTTCACTCTATCACCTTTCTCTTTGTTCTTTATCGTTCTCCTTCTTCCCATGATTGCACTCTTTTAGATGTTATCTCTGATCAAATTGACCATGCTCTCTCTTTTTACCCCTCTGCCAATATTGTTGTTGTTGGTGATTTTAATGCCCATCACACTGAATGGCTTGGCTCTAACACCACTGATCCTGCTGGCACTAAAGCCTTTAACTTCTGCGTTTCTCAATCTCTTACTCAGATACTTTGTGACTTGTTTTCCTGACAACCCTAATCATTTACCTTCACTCCTTGACTTATGTCTTGTCTCTGACCCTAGCTTATGTTCAGTTTCTCCCTTTTCTCCCTTAAGTGGTTCTGACCATGCAATGATCTCTATAAATCTTTCTTCTTGTACTTCTTTTTTGGGCTCACCTTATCATCGCACCACCTACTACTACCCTAAAGCTGACTGGGATTCCTTTCGTAATTTTCTTCGTGATGGTCCTTGGGCTGATGTTTTTCCTCTCTCAGCTGACAAATGCGCCTCCTACATGACCTCCTGAATTCAGGCTGGAATGGAAGCTTTTATTCCTTTGCGTCAGTTTTAAATCAAGCCTCATTCTACTCCATAGTTTTCTCCTTCTTGTGCGGCTGCTATATCCAATCATAATCATTTTTTTCATCTTTTTCAAAAGAACAACTCTCTTGAGAACAAATGGCTATTTATTATTGCAAGAAATCGATGTAAAAAGGTGCTTTCTGATGCTAAACTCCATTATTCTCAGTTCACTAAATCTCGCATCTTATCGCAGAAGTTAGGCTCTAAAGACTTTTGGAAAATCTTCAACAGCATTGTTAACAAGGGTAGATCTAACATTCCATCTCTCATTCATGGGACTGATCTTGTTACCTCTCCCAGGGATAAGGCAGAACTGTTTGTAAAGAACTTTTCTTCTAATTCCACTCTTGAATCTTATGGACATTCTCTTCCTTCCATTCCAGTCAAACAGGTTGACCCATTGTTAGACATTCAAATCACTCCAGCTTCTGTTGCTAAAGTCATATCTCAATTAAACTCATCTACAGCTTGTGGTCCAGACAACATTCCTGTCACAGTCTTGCAGGTCTTGCAGTCTTGCAGAATTGTTCTCCATAACTTTCTTCAATTCTCTCTAAACTATTTAACAAGTGTTTGACTGAGTCTTGTTTTCCTGCTTGTTGGAAAATGGCATGTGTGGTTCCAATATTCAAAAACTCTGGAGAAAATTCTGACCCCTCCAATTATCGTCCGATCAGTCTTCTTTCTGTTATTAGCAAGGTCTTTGAGTCTTTGATCAAAATTCCTCATATCTCATCTTGAGTCAAATAAACTACTGTCAGACAATCAATACGGTTTTCGATCCTCTCGCTCTATGGCCGACTTGCTAACTGCTGTAAATGAAAGATTTTATCGTGCATTAGATGGAGGCGGTGAGGCTAGGGCTATTGCTCTCGACATATCTAAAGCTTTTGACAAAGTTTGGCATGCTGGTCTTCTCCATTAGCTTGCTTCATATGGTGTTTCTGGGAAAGTTTTTGAGATTATCAAATCATTTCTTTCTAACCGGTTTATTAAAGTCATCCTTGAAGGCCAACACTCTTCTTTATTTCCAGTAACTTCTGGGGTTCCCCAAGGTTCCATCCTGGGCTCTGTTTTGTTTCTTATCTACATAAACGATCTTCCTGACAACCTTTCATCTAAAGTAGCTCTTTTTGCTGATGACTCAACTTTATACTCCTGTCTTGACAAAAAGTCTTCTCTTTTCGATCGCCTAGAACAAGCAGCTGATCTCGAATCCGATCTCACTTCAGTAATAGATTGGGGTTCACAGTGGCTTGTGAATTTCAATTCTAAAAAAACCCAGTTGCTTACTGCAAACAACTACCATAATATGGTCAACATTCTTATATTAATGAATGGCAATCCTCTTACTGAGTCCTCCTCTTTACATCTTCTTGGATTATTGCTTACTACTGACCTTTCATGGAAATCATATATACAATCGATTGCTAAATTAGCTTCTGCTAAGGTTGCTTCTCTTTATCGTGCTTGCCATTTCCTTACTTCTGATTCCATTCTCTATCTTTACAAATCTCTTATTCGTCCCTGTATGGAATACTGTTGTCATATTTGGGCTGGTTCTTCTAACGATTCACTTTCTCTTCTTGACAAGGTCTAAAAATGCATTGTATATGTTGTTGGACCTGGACTATCTGCTAAGCTTGAACCTCTTTCCCATCGTCGTAAAGTTGCATCTCTTTCTCTTTTCTACAAATACTATCATGGTCACTGCTCAAAGGAGTTATCATCTCTAGTTCCATCAACTAAAATTCATTCTCGTTTTACTCGTCATTCAGCTAAGTCTCATTCGTTTACTGTATCTGTCCCTGCATGCTCTAAAAACTTTTCGTCTAGTTTTTTTCTCCGCACTTCAATCCTTTGGAACTCTCTCCCATCTTCATGTTTTCCTGACTCATACAACCTTCAACTTTTCAAGTCTTCTG